GGGGGGGTGGCAGGTCTGTAGAGTCTTAATAAGAGCAGGGATGGTTTTTTTAGTGGAACGTGAGGGTCTTCCTTCCCCTCTCAGAGCCACCAGAAGCGCACGTAGACGATGAGCATGATGAAGAACACGCCCCCGGCCGCCAGCTTGGCGTAGGTGGAGCGCGTGTTCAGGTACTTGGCGTCGCTGCGGTACTTCTTGGAGAGGCTGGACAGGTTGCTGGCCTTGGAGTCCAGCGCTGAGGAGGAGGAGGACACAGAGAGAAAAAGACGGTCAGCCGAACATCTGGAGATCAGGCCCAGATGTGGGTTTGTGCGTGGAGAGTTGTATCCGGATACGATACTCAATTATTTATTTATTTACGTTGCTTATGCTCATTAACTCATTGGCTGCCAAAGACGTCTATAGACGTCTTTTATGTTTTTCAACGCGAGTGGCTGGGGGACGATCTGCTAAAGCTTGTCCGTAAATATCGGCTTCTAGACAGAGTATGTAGTAACAAATTGACCCTCTAGGGGGCAGTGCCACTTTTGATGGGAGATGAGCATAGACTGTAGGCAAATAAGAAAAAGCTAACGGTTCGCTATGAGAGAACATGTCGCCGGTGAGACGCAAGTCCAGGAAGAACGGAATAAGGTAGAAACAAAATTTTTTTCCAGATGAAAGAAGAGAGTCTACTCTTTCTTTTGGTGTGTTCGGTGTTTACATAGTCATAGCACAAACTATTCTGTGGCTCTTGAAAAATCAGTCAAAATGCTAAAAAAACTCTGGCAGTGTGGGACTCTCTGTTCTGAAAATGGCTGGCAGTCAATGAGTTTACATGACGTTAGCTTGAATTGCTATCTGCGGCTAATGGCTGATAATAACACGCCAACATTAATCAAGTCCGTCTGCAGGAAGCCAAGGATGGATATCCAACTCCCCCACATCCAAGTCGGCCATTTTGATTAGGTCACCAATAGGAAGATCCCAGCCAAGAAAATCCTAATTGCTTCATGGTTATATAGACATTAATTTAAAAATTGTTAAATGAATCTTGCAAACACTGAATTAAACTCTATCCATAATATGATGTTAAAATAGTGGATGTTAAATAGGTTTGTACAATAAGTCCAAACAAGTTTAACCCAAAAAATATCTATTTCTCACAATTATGAAGGGTGGAGGGTTAGAATCAGGGTCAGGGTCATTAATATAGACATTTATTTAAAAATAGTTAAATGAATCTTGCAATCACTGAATTAAACTCTATACATAATATTATGTTAAAATAACCCTAACCCTCCAGCCTTCATAATTGTGAGAAATAAATATTTTTTGGGTTAAATTTGTTTGGTCGGCCATTTTGATAGGTCATGTGACTAGCACCTTTCTGAGGTGGAAACAAAACTTTACTGTCTATGCGAAATCTGAAGACAAACAATGTCCTAACACTAACCCCAACCCTAACCCTAACCCTAACCCTGATCTTAACCCTAACCCTAACCCTGATACTAACCCTAACCCTAACTCTCCACCCTTCATAACTGTGAGAAATAAATATTTTTTGGTTAAACTTGTTTGGACTTATTGTACAAACCTATTTAACATCAGTAACAGGTCAGTTTGAAACCAAAGACACTAACCTGTCAAAATTCAGTTAAATTTGGGGTCTTTGTTTTTTATTGAATATTGAATATTTTCCTGAGTATCGGTATGGAGTTGAACATTTTAGTATGGTGACAGCCCCGGTGGGGAAAATGTTCTGTAATGGTTAGGGTTAGGGTTAGGGTTAGGGTTCGGGTTAGGGTTAGGGTTAGGGTTAGGTTTTGGGTCATTAATGTGGGCCACGATAACATCAGTAACAGGTCAGTTTGAAACCAAAGACACTAACCTGTCAAAATTCAGTTACATTTTGGGGTCTTTGTTTTTATCCTTGTGGTATTGAAAATGGTATCGAATATTTTCCTGAGTATGGGTATCGAGTTGAAAACGTTACTATGGTGACAACCCACCGGACAGAGCCTCCCCCCTCTGCAGGACCTCCTCGATGTTGGCCACCATGATCCTCTGGACGTCCTGCAGCTCGGTGTTGATGCTGCCCAGGTTCCTGCGCGCCCGGCTGTCGATGTACGACTTCTTGGTCTTCTGGATGTAGGTGTCTGGAACAGAGACAGGGGGCCGAGCAGAACCGGTTCAGGGTATCGGTGTCAGCTGGGAAAGCCCTAAGCTCCCGACATCAGCAAAATAAAGCCGCTGAAACGTTTGGATGTATTTACATTCTATGTATACAGTAATCCCTCGTTTATCGCGGGGGTTACGTTCCGAAAATGACCCGCGATAAGTGAAATCCGCGAAATAGAAAACTTTTTTTTTTTTTT